GTTTGTTTCTTGAAAATTTGATCACGATTTAAATACAGTATTTATTTTTAATATTACTGATATGTCATCGAAAAGAAAACGTGTTGTATTATCATTAAAAGACAAATTAAAGTATTTGTTTCAATTATCCGGATTTTCCCTTATCCGGACTACCTTCATCCCCAATTAGTCCGGATAATCGAGGTTCTACTGTATATTAAAAAATACAAATACAAAAAAAATTATACTTTAGAAGTTAATCTAGCATCAAAAACGTTCGATTCAGCACGACACAGTCCAATTGGAATGCTTTCAGTTAACTGACATTTCGGTTGATTGGCATTCGGATAAATGACGCTCTACTGTATTTCTTTCTTTAAAAAATATTGTCTTTCATTTACACATTAAAAAAAATCACACAGACTTATTGGCCACTTACTGATATTATAGATAATATATACTGTAGATATTTAGTAATTGTAAAGACTTGTAAACTATATTTACAAGTCTTAGTATAATATAATGCAATGAGATTCCATTACTTTGAATGAAAAGAAAACTTTCATCTGATAAAGCTGATAATATTCAGAAATTTAAAAACAAACAAAACATTAATGTAATAAATAATTTCAAATATTGAATAAACCAAGTCTTCATCATTATTCTGTCTTTTCCAATCACCAGCAGGTGCAGCCTCACTAGAAACGTCGTTTCTGCAAGGAAAAACTTTTTGCCAGTGACTAGACAAGACAAGAAAAATGAAGACTTGGTTTCTTTGATATTTTAAATTTGTGAAATATAATCATTTTAATTTATAATTATAATAAATAATATTTAAAATTAATAATAATAATAATAAGTAATGTATACTAAATAGAGTAGACACTGAGGATGGCGTTACACATACGTTTTTTTTATTGCAAGCACTAAGCAAAACGTACATGTAATGCCGTCCTTAGTGTCTTCTCCACTTAGTATACAATATTTGGCATGAAAATCATCATATTGATCATTAATAAGTACAGGTAAGTCTCATATAACACAGCACTCCTATAGCACGAATTCATTCTAACATGGTTCAGGAATTGGGAACATCCCCCGTATAACACGGTGCTTTTATAGCACAGGCTCACTCTAACACTGTTCAGAAATTGGGTATAACTCTGGTATAACATAAAATGTAATAAAGGGTGCATTCTTTTATACCTCTGCGTAACTCTGTGCGAGCATTCTAATTGTTTTCGTGGCTACTTTGAATGCTCTTTCAACAAATAATCCATTTAATGGTTAAATTTTACAATTGAGACCCTTCTTTTGCCTCATTTTAGAATTATAGATTCCCTCACCACAATACTATCGATAGTGCGGGTGCTGCCATCTTTCTTTCACCGTTGTTCCTAAATGCCTACAAACATCAGCGCACTCCCGTTACAGAGCGATCACATTACCAAACGCACCCACAAACTGTTACCAGTTGATGATGCTCATGCTGAGATCATCATATAAAACGAATAATCCTCTGGTAAAATATTTACTTAAATAATAAATAAGTGTTTTACCTATGAAAAGAATGAATAATAAATGTTTAACAACATGTTTTTTAATTTTTGGAACCTAACCCCCTTTTTGCACTAGTTCTTTGTTTCGTATAACACAGATTCGCATAACATGGCAATTTTCTGGAACGTAACTCCCGTGTTATACAGGGGTTACCTGTAATGTTAAAATATTATGCTAATCTGGATTAATAACAGTATCAATATTCAACTTAAAACTTCATATTTTCAAAAAATGAAATGTAGGAAAATTATTTGATTTATTGTGTATTCTAAAACCGTGTCTTCTTTTATCTGTTTTTATATTCACGACTAGGTGCATAGATAGACACAAGGCATTTCTACATCATCTTTATTCGAAATATCCTATAGGCCGATATTCATTTCGGGCATAAGCCCCTCATCTGTCAGCATGACTTCTGGGATTTCTTGTGGTGTTGACACACATACATTCTGTTTAAAATTACTTATTTACAGTTGAAATTGTTTTACTGTTATAGTTTAAAATATATTTACAATTAAAAGTACTATTAAGAAACCTTAACTGTAATAGTACTTTTAATTGTATTTATTTTAAACTATAATGGTTAGTGTTGCAACAAATAGTATATTTGGCCTCAGGCCAAATATTCAGCCAAACTATTTGGCTTGATTTACGCATGTACAAAAATTGCAGTGCAAACCACATTATGGGAAAGATTGCACGCTCTATTGGCCCGCTGTCACTAAGCTTCGCCAATCGCGTTAATTCTTGACAGTTGTAGCAGACAGACAAGAGTATCATGGCAGTATGTGATAAGTGAGGATATCAGATGTGGATAACAATGAAATGACCTACACGTGTAAATAACAAAAAAAGAACAGAGAAGGACCGCAAAGTGAAAATGTGAAAATAAATATTAAATATGAAATTGAGTTGATAACATAATTGAACAAGTCAAGGCAGCTTATTGGCGCAAAATTCACAGCTGTCAATGCCAAACAATTGTTGTCATAGACTTCGGAAAGCTAAATGCTTGTAATAAAAGTCACAGGCGAAAGTCTGGGGCCATTCAGGCTATCAAGCTGTCTCGAATCTGTGAAATCATAACTGTGACATATACAACACCAAACAATCGCCTAATTATCGGGCTATAATATGGCTATTTTAAATGATTGGAACTAAGTAATTTGACATTAGAGGTAGGCATTAGGCACCACCTCTTAATTAAATAAATAATAATTAAATAAATAAATTTAGAACATTCTGGAATAAAAGAACTGGCCCGGGACGGGGCTTGAACCCGCAACCTCCGCTTGCCGTGCGGTGCGCTTGCCAGTTACGCCACCCGGACCCCGAGC